TAGGAATATGTTCTATTCTGTCCTAGCAAGAGATGCCTAGCAGTTTGCCTGGGGACCTATTAGTCTGGTTGTCCTTCTATAATAATAAGAATAATAAAACTTTATTTATATACTCCCCAAGAGGACTCAAAGTGGATCCCAAAATAAGACAAAACATTCAATTGCCAGAAAAGAAAATCATACAACAAAAACATCATAAAGCATAAACATAAAATTCTACTAAACAATGAACCAAAATTTAAAATCCAGTTTCAATTTTAGTCCATCAGACAGGTTCAAAGTACCAGTGGCCAAAATTACAGAGTGGGCATGGCCAATTATGAAAGGGCTGGGCAAGGGCTAGTACAACAGTGTATCATAGGGCCAAGGAAGTGTATAATGTGCAGAGCAGGGTCCTAACTGATGGGCCTAGGGACTAGGTATGGGCAATCCATGGTTCTAAATGGTTCTAAAGTACTTAGAAAACTAGTGGGCGCTGGTGCTTTGGTTCTACAGTGTTGCGAAAGTTCTGGTGGTGAAAATTTCAGAACTCTAACAAAACTTTCAAAATTTTGTTATAAATGGCAATTCCTAATTGTTTCTGTCATAAAAATCGCAAATAATAAAATAATGAAATTTTGAAAGTTTTGTTAGAGTTCTGAAATTTTCTCCACCAGAACTTTAGCAACACTATAGAAGCAAAGCACTAGCGCCCCTTAGTTTTGAAAGTACTTTAGAACTATTTAGAACCATGGATTGCCCATGCCTACTAGGGACTAATCATTCTCAAAAACCTGCTGGAAGAACCAGGTTTTCAGGTCCCTACAGAAGGAAGACAGTGTAGGGGCTTCTGTTAACATTGGTGACGTGGAACAGGGGGTTATGGATAGGGTGAAAATTCTTGCAAAAGGGGAATGTGAAAAGACAGAACGAAACTCCATAGTAACATTTTAATGTGTGCATTCAATATTCTGCTAATCCAATATGCACATAAAGTCCATGGTTTGGAGATCAGTATTGGGGCTACTCCAGGTCAGCACAGTATTTAGCCAGTTGCTTCTGAAATCCATGTCAGGACCCTTGTAGGTGTTTCCCATGCTCTGATCTCATTGTCTAGACCTAGAGAAGAAAACCTGGGACTTTTTACGACATGGGTCTCTCTCAAAATTGCAGGTCTGTTCTTTCTGTCTCTGTTTGCATGTTGAGACAGCCCTTCACAGGCAAAAATATGCTCCAAGGGTTTACATGATTGCATATCATGTTTGCATATCATGTTGGTGCTGTCTTAGGATCTAGTACAGGAATGGGCATTGGAAGGTGACAGCACTCTATTTTGCTGCTCTCTGGAGTTCCAGTGGGGCAGATTGGGGTATCACAGGCAACACGGTTCAGCTCTTGGTAAGCTTTAGGTCTTCTTGCGTGGATTTTGTCATTTCAAGGTGTCTTCCCAAAACAGAAAGAAAACAGCTAGCTGTATGATGCTTTCAACTTTGATGACCTAGTCTTTTACTGAAAAGCATGAGTTTTGTAGCCACAATTTTGAAGGGCATGTCTGAGGACTTAAGGGGACTTTGGAGAGTTTGATGAGCTATACTGAATTTCCTGCAAGGATTTCATACAAGTCATATGCCACACCATCTAGCACCTTCTAACTTTGATCAAGCACTGCTGTGGCTTAGCATCCTGACCTCAAGTTGCAACAGCAGCAGTGTGAATACTGGCCTCCCTTGAAAAGCTCTCATAGGAATTTCTGAGAGAGTGTGTGGAAAGTGCACTAAACTCTTGAAAAGCATTATAGTGTATGTGAAGTAGTGAGTGAGTCTTGAATTTCCATTGTCAGCAAATACACAGCTGCCTGCCTTCTTCCAAAGTTCTGAGGTTAGAATTGGGCAAAAATGTTTGAGAACCTATCCTTATGTTATTTTAGTGAATCACGGTTTCCTAATCTTAAAAATCACAGTCTTTAATGGTATGAATATCACGCCACTCCATCACTTGCCTATTAGTGCCACCTAGTGTTCTCCATCCATATATTTACACTTCAGTTGGGAAAACTCATTGAGTTGTTGTAAATGAGCATTCTTTTTCACACACAAATCATACACTTTGTTTGCTGTCCAGCTAGAACAGTGGTTCTCAACCTGTGGGTCCCCAGATGTTTTGGCCTTCAATTCCCAGAAATCCTAACAGCTGGTAAACTGACTGGAATTTCTGGGAGTTGTAAGCCAAAACACCTGGGGACCCACAGGTTGAGAACCACTGAACTAAAACATGGATTTATTTACCCTCAGCTTCCTCTGTTGATCTACAGCTATTTAATCATGATTTGTGTCTCTAGCTCTTTTCCTAATTATATAAATTGTTCACTTAGTTCTTGTTAAGTGGCATCCCTGGGAGGAATTCCAGTAGTATTGTTTGCAGTGCTTTCATATGTTAACATACATATCCATTGTACCGAATAGGGGAATCAGTGTGATGTAGTAGTTTGAGTGCTGGACTAAGACTCTGGGAGACTAGGTTCAAATCCCTTCTTGACCAATGAAGATTCCTTTGGGCATATCACACCCTTCTGATTTAGGGAAAGGTTTTTTTTCATGCCAGAAGTGGCTTGAGAAACTACAAGTCACTTCTGGTGTGAGAGAATTGGCCAGCTGATGAGAGAGAATTGGCTATTGCCCAGGGGACACCCGGATGTTTTACTATCTTGTGGGAGGCTTCTCTCATATTCCCGCATGGGATGCTAGGGCTAACAGATGGGAACTCACCCTGTCTCGCGAATTTGAACCACTGACCTTCAGGTCAGCAGTCCAGCCGGCAAAAGGGTTTAACCTACTGTGCCACTGCAGCTCTCTAGAGAAAGGTAAGGCAGTGGCAATCCCCTCTGAAAAAAAATCTCACTGCGGATAGATTTGCCATAGCGTCACCATAATTCAGAAATAACTTGAAGACACACAAGAACAACATGGTGCATGAATTGAAGCATTCTTCCCCTTTGACACTGACAGGCACCATTGGTAGCTTAGGGTGAGGAACAGGAAGAATTCGGTTCAGATCATTATTTAGCCATGAAATTCACTAGGCTGTTGTGGTCTATTTTCAAGTAATCTTTTAATGATGTCAACTCTTAAGGTGAACAGGGTTTTCTTTTCCACATTTATTTGGATTTGTTGGACTAAGATTATGGGAATTGAAAAAACAAATGTCTGCTCACTCAGTTCTTGTGGGTTTTTTCGGGCTATATGGCCATGTTCTAGAGGCATTTCTCCTGATGTTTCGCCTGCATCTATGGCAAGCATCCTCAGAGGTGAGGTCTGCTGGGGCTGGGAAAAAAGGGGTTTATATATCTGTGGAATGACCAGGGTGAGTCAAAGGGCTTTTGTAAGTTGGGCTAGGTGTGAATCTTTCAACTGACCATCTTGATTAGCATACAGTGGGCTGACTGTGCCTGGAGCAAACTCTTCTTGAAAGGTGATTAGATGTCCCTGCCTGTTTTTCTCTCTGCTGTTTTTGCTGTTGCAATTTTAGAATTTTAATACTGGTAGCCAGATTTTGTTCATTTTTCATGGTTTCTTCCTTTCTGTTGAAATTGTCCACATGCTTGTGGATTTCAATGGCTTCTCTGTGTAGTCTGACATGGTGGTTGTGAGAGTGGGCCAGCATTTCTGTGTTCTCAAATAATATGCTGTGTCCAGGTTGGTTCATCAGGTGCTCTGCTATGGCTGATTTCTCTGGTTGGAGTAGTTTCAGTGCCTTTCTGTTCCTTGATGCGTGTGTGGGCGCTGCGTTTGGTGGTCCCTATGTAGACTTGTCCACAGCTGCATGGTATACGGTAGACTCCTGCAGAGGTGAGGGGATCCCTCTTGTCCTTTGCTGAACGTAGCATTTGTTGGATTTTCTTGGTGGGTTTGTAGATTGTTTGTATGTTGTGTTTCCTCATCAGCTTCCCTATGCGGTCAGTGGTTCCCTTGATGTATGGCAGGAACACTTTTCCTCTGGGTGGATCTTTGTCTTTACTCTCGTGGTTTGTTCTTGGTTTGCAGCTCTTCTGGTGTCTGTGGTGGAGTATCCATTGGCCTGGAGAACCCAGGTTAGGTAGTTCAGTTCACCTTGGAGGAGGTGAGTCTTTTTGCACGGTCTGCCAAGGCTTTAATTGTGCTTCTTTTTTTGACTTGGGTGATGGTTGGAGTTTTTATGTAGATATCTATCTGTGTGTGGGGGTTTTCTGTAGACGGTGTGACCCAATTGTTGATCTGGTTTGCGGATGACTAGGACATCTAGAAAAGGCAGTCTTCCTTCCTTTTCTTTTTCCATAGTGAACTGGATGTTTGAGTGGATGCTGTTAAGATGTTCCAGGAACCTGCTGAGTTCCTCTTCTCCATGGCTCCAAATGGTGAAAGTGTCATCCACATATCTGAACCATATAGTGGGCTTTTTGGTTGCTGTTTCAAGAGCTTGTTTTTCAAATTGTTCCATGTAGAAGTTAGCTATGACTGGGCTGAGAGGGCTCCCCATAGCTACTCCATCTTTCTGTTCGTAGAATTCATTGTCCCACTGAAAATAGCTGGTGGTGAGGCAATGGTGAAACAGCGCCGTGATGTCTTCTGGGAACCTCTGGTTGATGAGTGCCATGGTGTCTGCAACTGGGACCATGGTAAATAGAGACACCACATCGAAGCTGATCAGTTTGTCATTTGTATTTAGCTTGAGATTGCTGATTTTTTCAATGAAGTGGGCTGAGTCCTTGATGTAGTGTGTTGTGAGCCCAATGTGGCTTTGTAACTGTGCAGCAAGAAATTTGGCTAAGTCATATGTGGGGGATCCAATGGCACTCACGATGGGTCTGAGTGGGGTGGAGTCCTTATGGATTTTTGGGAGTCCATAAAGCCTGGGTGGAAGGACTTCCGGAATGTCTGCTCAGTTTTCAAAACCCTCTGGGCAGATCATTCTCCCTCAACCTTTTGTTTTTTCCTCAATGTAGATTCATATCATATTAATATTTTGTCCCTTTTTTTTTTTGAAAGTTTGCAGTACTCCTCCTGTCAACATGAAAGTGAAATCAGTGAACAGAACAGCCTTGCTGGTGACCTGGAATCAACCAGAGATGATCTATCATCCTCCCATTATGAACTATATGATTTCCTACAGCTGGACTAAAAATGAAGATGAAAAGGAGAAGACTTTCACGAAGGACAGTGACAAGGACCTGGTAAAACCACAGCATCAGAAATTGCCATTAGTGTTAAGATAGCCTTACTCTGTCTTTCCTCAGTAGAAGGTAGGGATGTGAAGCAAATGGGGCTTAAGCTAAATTTATGATTCCACTTAATTCCATTTAAAACATGAACAGTTGGGTTCTGCTCACCATTCCACAACATGAAAGCATCTAAATCTGATTCTTTCTTTGCATGACGTCAAGTGGATTTGTCCTTATTTAACACAGTGAGGATTCATCCACTTTGGAAGCTGTTGACTGCCAAAGGGGACAGGTGTCCAGCCACCCTACTTGTTTTTTTGCACCAAATGAAAACTCTCTTTGCAAAGGCCAATAGATCCTAATGTGAAAATGGCATTGGCAATATTTATGTGAGTGTTCTCATTAGCAGAGCCATTCCTTCTTTGTTGGATTTGGCCTTCAGAACTATCTGTCCTGTAGCAGATGTGCCTATGTAATGGAGTGTCTCAGACTCTGCAAGAAACGTAAGCACAAGGAGCAGCAGTCTGTGTGCTTTTTGGAATATCTCTCTAGAGGCAAGTGACAACTGTAAAGTCTTTAAAATTCCATGTGTATAGAATGAAAGTGACATATTCCATTTTTGAAAGAGCTCAGTTTATTGTTAATCAAAGCAAGCTTCTGGAATAATGAAATTGGTAATTGTATATGCACATAAAAATGTAGCCGCAATGAGTGAAATTTCTAATGACGGTTATCTTTTGTACTTCTTTGCAAATACACACTTCCTGGGTACCATTCAATCAGTTATGGGATAATATGTCTCTTATTCTTCCCGAGACTGAGGTTCTTTTACTTAATTTCCATTTATATTTTCAATTTTCCCCCACTAGACGTTGTTATCTAGGTCGCATTAGGGAGTGATGTGCTTCATGAAATCAGAAAGTAATCTTTTGAAAGGTGCCCAAGGTTAGAGCTGCATGGTAATTTCAAACTTGTTATCATTTTACAGACTGAAAGGATATTGTTTTTTCTCTTTTGATTATTAATAAAAGGAGAGTGTATTAATTAGGAAACATATCCAATTACAAACGTGAGACATACCTCCCAAGGAATAGATGTTGCACCATTTTCCTTCATTTTTGTTATTTCATAATTTGTTGGGTAGCTGTTAAAGATGTGGCAATGACTGGCACTTAGGAACCTCTAAGCACCAGTCTGTGACCAAAAGAATGCCAATCCAAGTCAGTGTTGTGTTGTGGTCATCCCCAATATCCACTTCCAGGCTTTTCTGATGTCATTCCACATATATTTTCTTTTCTGCACTCCCTACTTTCTACTTCCTTGCCTCTGTAGAAGGAAAGCTGGTAGTGGGATGAGGACATCTTCACCATTGATCAGCTAAGGGTCATAGAAGTTTGGAGGAATCTTTCTAGTTTTTGGTCTATGTCATGTAATTCGTACATCTATCCCATTCAATTTCTGCATTAATCTGCATTTTTAAAAGTAGCATTTTAATATTGAAAGGAGTGTATTGCCCAAAGGATAATACTCACCAATCCACACAAGGTGTGGAAGAGGTAACTATTAGGCTTGGGGGATCCATGGTTCTAAATGGTTCTAAAGAACTTACAAAACTAGAGGGCACTGGTGCTTTGCTTTTACAGTGTTACTAAAGTTCTGGTGGTGAAAATTTCAGAACTCTAACAAAACTTTCAAAATTTCATGATTATTTCATTATTGGCAATTTTTATGACAGAACCAATTAGGAACTGCCATTTATAATGAAATTTTGAAAGTTTTGTTAGAGTTCTGAAATTTTCACCACCAGAAACACTGTAGAAACAAAGCACCAGTGTCCTCTCATTTTGTAAGTACTTTAGAACCAATTAGAATCATGGATTGCCCATGCCTAGTCACTATATATCAGAAGTCACCAGGGTCAGCAAACAACTGTGCCTAATTAATGCCCAAACCATAAAGGGCAGAACTGACTTCATGGTTCAGACACAAATAGATGTGTGCATGCCAGTTTTTCTAACACTTATAAGACTTATTTTTGTCACTTTTCTAATTGGACAAGTATTTGTTGCAAGACATGTTGTTGCCTCCGAGATAATTTCATCAGGTTACCTGATCTTTAGTATTGACCCCCAGATTTCTTCTACTCCAACAAAAACATTCACCCATTCCCATTATGCTATACCTATTCCATTGTCTCTTGACATCCTGTTGATTGTTAATAGTTCTGTGAACAACTGTTTAAGGATATTCACAGCTTTATAAAAATAGCAACAGAAAGAAAAATCTCAATTTACACAATTTCAAAAGCTTTCTCGCAGTGAGAAGAAAATTGCTAAATTATTTGCTGCTTCCTTCAAGAACAAAAGTAGCAAAGAATTCAACATCCCTACAAAGTGGAAACATATTCCTTTGAGCCAGAAGCATGAACAGTTGTTCCTGCTAACAAACATTTTTACTGAATTCTGAAATTATTTTACTAGCTGAAGAGCTCATTTTGACAAGAAGAATCTAGTTTCACACTGTCTTTCTTGAAACCTGCCTTCAACCAATATGTGAACCCAGGAAAGTATTTTCATGCTTGCAACAAAAAAACTTATTCAAGAACAGCCAGAGTGGTTACTGTGAAATCCCTACTTAAAGTAAACTTTGATTACACAGACAAAGATCTCATGGGCTTGACGGACCACATCCTGTAAGCCTTTTCTTGACAGGCTTGTAATAGCTTCTGAATCACACCAAGGCAAGTCATGTCAGAAGGTCGCAGAGACCTTTTGTATCAAATATAATGTAACTATACCCTGTTCAGTCAATTTAAAAGCATTTGGGTTCTATACAGGAGGAATTGCAGTGGAGGAAACCATGCTAGCTCAACTCCCCTCCATTGCTTTCACACTCCATCCATATAAGACATCTGTAGAGGCCTTTTGAGCAGTGTAAAACTCTGAAAGATAACAGCTTGAAACTTCATGGAAAGCTTTTAAAGATAGAGGATACCATCTGCTACAGAGAGTAATGTGTCATCCTTTCCACTTGGGGAGCAGTAAGAATGATGGTGGAAGCTGGTGCTTATATCTTTGGTTGCCACTACACTGTATAATTAATGCTGTTGGACACAACTTTAACTGCCATGGCTCAATGCTATGGCATTCTGGGATTTATATCTTGGGGAGGTACCATCACTATTTGGCAAATAAGATTAAAGATTATGTAAACTCTTATAATTCCACAGCATTGACCCATGGCAGTTACAGCAGTGTCAAACTGCATTAATTCTACAGTGCAGATGCACCCTTTGTCCCTCACTAACCCTCCTTAATTCCAAGAGTCCGGACACGTTTAAAACAACTGGATGAATCACCTGTGGCAAAGGGATACAATTCCAAATCCCTACTTCCTTCTTTGAAAATTAATTTTCAGCTACTTTATCAACTCCATTATTGGAACATATGTAAATACAGTTTGGTCTCATTAGGATAGTGTGATAGAAAGATGGAAATGGGTTCCTTTGAGCATTATTCTGAGAAATAGTACACTGATCCAGAGACAAGTCTTGTGGCAGGAGGAAGTTAGGCTGGGTTGGTTTATATCAGATAATAGAATTTCCATTTTCATGGTGGAGGGCATTGCTTATTTTTCCATAAAGGTTGAGGTTTTGTTCTTGCCCAAGAGTTACTTAACCCTTCATGCAGACTCAGACCAATGAGATCAGTTTCTCTCTTGTTCAAGTGAGCTTTCCCTTCCTGTAAAATGTGTTTTAAGTATTATTTGTGTTTTGCAGATTGATCATTTCTGTCGGGAGGGATATCACTGAATAATATCTATTTTTTTTAAACAGAAAGCCATCATTAGCCATGTCTCACCTGACATCCTTTATCTGTTCAGAGTTCAAGCAGTTTGCCGAAATGACATGCGCAGTGATTTTAGCCAGACAATGCTTTTTCAAGGTAAAGCCATGTGATTTCTCTGTTCTTTTGTACCATTCTCTTACAGTATACATTGGTAGTTACGATTTACTGTTGCAAGCTTTTGTGACATGGTGTTTGTGAAGAATGCTTACCTCAACTCACAGTCACATGCAATTAGTAAATACATCATTCAAAGGATGAAGCTTTGCTAGCATGATTCATAGAATGACAAGTTCTCAAAATATTGAGTTTCTTCACCTTCCAAACTGTGGGAAGAGAATGATCCTGTGAGTTCTGTCCTCTGCCGTATTCTTTGCTGCTGAAATTCAGGGACATCAGTTCTTAGGACTGGGCTACAAAGTAAAGGACATATTTTTTTCAATTTCTTTCTTGCATATTTAAGTTTATCTATTATATACATAGACTCATTTGAATGCATAGGTCATCTTCAAGGGCCTATATTTGCATCTAGTATATCCACATATTCAGCCATAACTTCACTAATGACAGAAGGGATCAATGTTGTCAGATAGAGCAACATATACGAAAGGCATTCATGTCAAACAGGGACTTTTAATTTTTCAGGTATACAAATAAATTCTAGAGTGGCAATACTATGTGCAGTAGTAAGTGGTTAGTATGTCTCATTACTAATAGGCGGCACACATGTTGTGGGCCAGTCCAGAGACCATTCATCAAAATGGCAGACAACAGTGTTAGTGTGTGCATGGAACAACATGTGCTGATGAAGCTTCTTGCCAATGAAGACTTCAGACCTGTGGATATCCTCAGAAGGCTTCAGACTCAGTACAGTGATGAGACGCTAGTCTGCAATAAGACATTTGAATGGTGTAAACGTTTCAAACATGGTCTTATGTCCGTCAGTTACAATCCTGGCCCTGGTGGTTCCCAGCCCACAGCAGTAATTCCTGTGCATAGAACATCTGATCTTGGCGAGTCGACATATAACCTGTCGTGAAATTGCACAAGAGATTGATCTTTCTGTGGAAACGGTGAACACAATCATTCACAATAATATAATAATATATTTTATTTATATTCCACTCTATCTCCCCAAGGGGACTCAGAGTGGATTACAGGTACATATATGGCAAACATTAAATGCCATTATACAATTGACAGAAACAGACAATACATAAGCAGAGGCAAGGCTTCCCTCTTTTTATCTCTGGCATCCGGCTGTGCTCAACTTGGCCATGGGGGTGTGCTATTGTTTTATTTTCCACACTGAGGAGCCTGTCGTCCATGGAATCCTTTCCTGGTCGGATTTTTGCCATGTTTTTCATGGCGCCTTTTACCTTTCCTCCAAAGCGGTACCTATTTATCTACTTACATTGTTGTTTCCAAACAGCTAGATGAGCAGAAACTGGGCTGACGGTGGGAGCTCACCCTGACTTGGGCTTGAACTGCCAGCCTTCTGGTCGGTAGGATTTTCAATAGTAGGTGATTTTAACTGCTGTGCTAGCCTGGCCATTTGAATTTTCAAATCGTTTACAGACTCTTGAGTACTATCGTGTTCTGAGTGATACGCATATGTGTCTGCAGAAAAAAACAGCCTGGTTTGGTCACTGAGAGTGTCCTGTTTCTCCAGGACAATGTACAAGCTCCTACTGCTCACCACGCTACATGTGCATTACAGGAGCTTGGATGGGAGGTAGTGCCACAATTCGGCTTACAGTCTGGACCTCATTATGAGTGATTTCTACCTGCGATTTGGACCCCTAAAAGAGTTCCTTGGAGGTCAGCATTTCAGCACTGATTATGAAGTGATGTAGGCTGTCAGACACACTGACAAATATTTCTATGACGAAGCTTTCCACTCTTTGAAATTGCCTCTTTTATTTTATAAACTCAAAATTCCCGGTTTGACTTGAATGCCCTTTGCATATGTATTGGTTGAGATTCTGAATGTTCCTGGTTCAAATTCAAGGCAAGGTATTTGTGTCAGGAGTGACTACACTTTTATTTTAATTACAGAAACGGGTTTCTCACTCTTGCTCTAGATGTAGAGTATCATCATGGTAAGATATGAGAAGCAGTTGGACACGAGAGGCAAGGAGATCATAATTCCAGCAGTTTTGGGGGAGTAGTGGTGATTCAAAATCTTGTACTGTGTATTTGCTTGCTCTTAGAAGTATACTAGAATAATAGTCAAAAACCCGAGCATCTACAATGTGACAATCAAGAAAAGGAAATCCCGAGTCTTGGGAATCTGCACATTATTTTTCAGGATGAGCAATGTAGCATATGGCAGTACACATTAATAATGACCTGGTTCCCCCCCCCCCCCTTAAATCCCTTCATGCTTGAGTCTGCCCAGAAATGTTTAGCCATTTTTTTCTAGTTGTACATTCTAGTTAATTATTCTCATTCTTTTTCTGCTCCCCTCTTTCCGCACCATCAGATAACACAACTCGGATTTTCGAAGGGACCAGAATAGTAAAAACAGGAGTGGTAAGTGAAATGAATTATTGGAATGAATATAAAAATATTGATGATAATTTCATCCAGCAGATGGCAGCATAATGTAGTAAATCTCTAAACAAATTTCAGATTTGAGGGATTTGCAGGAGTTTTGATTAAGAGCTCTGAGTTGTCTTTCAACCTCAGTTGACTCAATATTACTTCAGAGAAGCAACACATTATCCTGAGGCAATGCTGCTGCATTTATGTGTATTAAGTCATTAGAATTTCTGTAAAAGTTTTGGGCACAACAAATAATGCACTGAAGAGTATATAAAAACACCCAGGAACCTAGGGGCTGAATCAATATATGAGGACATACTCAGCGTTTTTGGTTTGACTTAGTCTCATTGGGAACTGCAAAAGCCTTCATGGATTTTAAGAGCAATTGCGCAGTCAGCAGTTTCTGTAAAAAAAAAAAAAATCCAACAACCCAAACATCCCTGCAATGTGCCAGATGTTCAAAATTCCTTTTCCTTTTTAGTGAGGTAGTCATAGCAAGCAGGCATGGAGCTTTGCTGTGGCAAGAATCAATAAAGATGCAGTGTATCTCTTTACATCCCTCTCATACTGAAGCTAATTTCATACAATTTTTTTAATACGTTTGTGCATGAAATAAAGTTCAGAGGTAAACACTGAACCTTCAGAAAACAAGGGTCTTCTCCACTCATGTGGAGAATTATATATATTTTATATTATTTTGGATTTCCAGAGAAGGAAAGTTCAACTTTTGTTATTTAACTCAACTATGCAATAATCTTTTACAGATTCATAGAGTGGATAACTGTGCGGAATATAATGATAGTACAGAGAAAATCAGTTCAGAGGTCTGATAACAATAATGAAGGGTCCCCTGGTTAAACCACTGAGCTGCTGAACTTGCTGACTGAAAGGTTGGCAGTTTGAATCCAGGGAGTTGGGTGAGCTCCCACTGTTAGCCCCAACTTCTGCCAACCTTGCAGTTCAAAAACATGTACATGTGAGTAGATCAATAGGTACCACTTCTGCAGGTCCTCCATGCAGTCATGCTGGCCACATGACCTAGGAGGTGACTACCGACAATGCCAGCTCTTTGGCTTAGAAATGGAGATGAGACCCACCCCTTAGAGTCAGACATGACTAGACTTAATATCAAAGGTAAACCTTTACCTTTACTTTAACAATAATGCATGAGGATATTTCCTCTCTCTGTGTGTCTTTTACCTCTTCTATTCTGTCCATTAGATCATGAAATAGCTGAATCAACTATAATTCCATTTCTAAAGTTAATTAGAGACTTGCCATCACAATCTTAGTTCTGCACTGCAACATTTTGGACATGCCATTCTTTCTAACAAAGGCATGTCAAGCTTTGTATAAATATGTTGACCTTTCCTTAAATAGAGACTAGGCCCTGGATACACCAAATCAGGACAGAGATAATTACCTAAGTATAACACTGATGTTGAAGGAAAACAGTTAAGTGTCTAATGTCACAAATGTCATGCCTTTAATAACTATTGGATACAGTTGCTAAATATAGTTAAATTACAGGCAAAGAAAAATGTTAATGGAACATTGGGAAAAAATGCAAAGTAGAATAAAACCATTGCGTCATAATATTTTGCTGAAGCAAGTAAAATATTTTAGCAGAGAGGAATTCATGCAGGAGTCCCCCTAAAGGAAAGATAAAAGAAGACACCATAATTAAAAAGTGTTTCATGTTTTATGAATAGTATACACGCAAGCCATTGTTTTCCTTGATCTCATTTATTTCAGCGGGGAGGATTTAAGTATCTGCATCTTAACTCTCAGTGAAACCAATCAGATTTAGAAGAGCTTAGGTTTTGATGAATTGCACCTGCAGGCTTGGGGGTGGAGGACAACAATGCTGGAGTCTTTGAAATCCATTTCCATGCCCTACTTGATATTTAATATTAAATACAAAAAACTTACAATGCCCTATTTAAAAGGAAATATAGTTGTTTTATGCCTTCTGTGCTGTTATGTCTTGTGAAACTTCATGTTTTTGCCAGCTAGATTTAACTACAATGGCTTAAATATACTTGTCTTATTTAAACAGAATAATGGGCACAATGGAGTGTTTGGAAAGAAAAGGAAAACAAAAGGAAAAAAGAGCCGAGGTAGCATGTCAGGTACCTCTACTGATGCTCTCTCTGCTGTGTTTTCTTCTCTTGTTCCCCCTGGTGATTTCTTCAAGCCTACAGCTTCGCCGGCACCTTCAGCCGACATGGCTCCCATCAGTTCTGGATCTTCTACTTGGACCTCCTCTGGCCTCCCCTTTTCTTTTGTGTCCATGGCCACTGGGATGGGGCCTTCTTCTAGTGGGAGCCAAGCAACAGTGGCTTCAGTGGTCACCAGCACCTTGCTTGCTGGCCTTGGGTTTAGCGGGAGTGGTATTTCCTCTTTCCCTAGTACTGTTTGGCCAACTCGACTCCCAACATCTGCTTCTTCCAACAAGCAGTCTGCAAGGCCGGTTGTGGCCACTACTGAAGCATTGTCTTCTCCAGGGCCAGACAGTGATTCTGCTCTCCCAAAAGACAATGAAGGAGCAGAGGATGGAGAGAAAGATGAGAAAAGTGAAAGTGAGGATGGTGAAAGAGAGCATGAAGAAGAGCGGGAAAAGGATTCAGAAAAGAAAGAAAAGAGCGCGACGACAGAGGCTGCTGATGTACAGGATAACAGTGAGGTTACAAACACCACTCTTGCTCCCAACAGAACTACAGAGGAGGGAGGGAATAAAACCATACCTGATCGAGAGCATAGCCAAAACATTCTCCCAACGGGTAGGACGCCCAAAGGAGAAGGAATTGCAGAACTAGACACTCAGTTTGAAATAATCTCATCCACCCAAGTGCCACCAGCATTCACAGATGAACAATACACTCGTGAAATTCCAAGAAGACCTGACACAGCATCAGTGACAACGTTTCCAAAAGATAACAGATTTATTACTATTAATCCAGGTAAGTTGTTTTTGATGGGTTTTTGATGGCTGGGCAAAACATGGTGTTTGGAAAGAGAAACAGGTTTTTTCATCGTAACAAAATATTGCAGATGCTTTGAAGTGTTGCACAATTATCCATGGGGTTCACTCTTTCGTTAGTCCTATTGCACATTCTGTGGATAAGCCACCCTTATGAGCAGACAATGTGAAGCTTCATGTTTCGACATGCTAGTAAAGAAAAATTCTTATAATGTAATGTAACTTTCAGCCATTAACTTTACTCTCTAACTATTATTAATTTTCTAATATAAAGATTGGTATCAAGTTTTTTTTTAAGGGATGTCATAAAATCTGAATGTATGTTGGGGGAGGAATATGGACTGTGTCAGTTGCCCTACCCATAACTTTCTAGTAATGTAGTAGCTTATTTCTAAATTCATAGTCCACCCAGTACATCTAGAAATTTGTTTCTGAGCAACTAGAAACACATCAAGTCTCTGCTGGCTAGTTTTAAGGTCAGTAGAGTCAGCCCTCAGTTTTTGTGGGGTTAGGAGTGCAGGTCCCTGCAAAAGAGGAAAAACTGTGATTATCTCTAGTTGGGATCAGACAAGGAGATGGAAGGAGGGAGGAGTGGGGTGTGTGTAGATCCCTGGGTAGGCAGAGGGAACACCCATCCATGGAAATGGGTGAAATGGAGGAAGAAAGAGCTGGGTTGGGCAGGATTGTGGTGCTGGCAGGAGGAGCACAAGGGCAGCAGGAAGAAACTGTGCCAGGTGATACTAAGGCAGGGCTGCGAGTATGAGCTGAAGTAAGTTAGTGAGTGAAGTTCTCCTTTCACGTTGTATGTAGGCATCCATTGTATAATCAAATGGGTGGTCCACGAGTCTCTGTCTCTGGATAGAGCATTATAAACCCCACCTCACATTCACCTAATCCCTGCTCTTTTCCCTTCCTCTCTACCCACCCCATTCCCTCCATTCATCCTCTCTGCTAATACTATATTTAGTAATTTTCCATGTTTCTTTTCCATATAAGCATTTATCAATCTCAATTAAAACAATTCTTGTTTCAGTTGAGCTTTACCATTCAAAATCCTTTCCGTCTAATTACGAAATTGACCCCAAAATTTGTTAGCCTTTCTGCACAAATCATAAAATATCTAAACCCCTTTATGCGTTAGGACAAATTTTCTGAGGTCAAATACCAATGGTGCAATAGTTTATAAATATTCTCCTCAGGATCATAAAACAATGTTAATTTTACTCCTTTATTTTCCCTAATGTGTTCTATGTATATTAAGACCCAAAATTTTGAAACCACCTTATGATACACTCCTTGACCTGTTCCTCTTCCAACTCAATTTTTTCACAGGTGTTTGTATGTCTTACCCAGCAAATGTTTATGATATGTACAAAGTTGCAACTCAAATTCAAGCCTGTTCTGTTCAAAATCATCTGTGACTGTGGTATAAGTGTTCTCTGTGTTTGTGTGTGCAAAAAAACTTGTTGTGTGAAAACAAAAACTAGAAGCTTAAAAGAGATAAAACACCTTCCTTTAAAAAGTAGAAGTGTACTCCATGTTAGGAAAAGCAAGAACACAATTTTCGGAAACTGTTGTAATTGCAAGATTATAATAAAATTGAATTTGAAGGTGGGTGCAGTTATGTTTATACCTACCACGGTGTTTTTGAAATATATTAGAAGCAAGAATCCTGCAAAAGAAAGAGTACAGCTGCTAGACCTCCAGTGTGTAAGAGGAGCACTCATGGATGACAGGATAAATGAGTTCTTTGCATCTAGTGCCACAAAAGAAGGTAAAGAAGAATGGCCAACACTTGAACTATTCTTCTTGGGTGGTGAATTGGAAGAAATGTTGAAGTATTCATAGGACAGATTTTAGAGTAAATTCACTGATTTAAAGAATGATGATTAACCAAGACCAGATGGTATTCACCCAAGATTTCAAAGAGCACTTTCACATGAAAAGTGGAACACTGCCTAGTGTCCGGTCTTTTTCTTTTGACATCTTCTGTCATACCAGGCAATTTACAAAAGGCTGATAAAACACCATCTTTCACAGAGACATATATGCACAATCCTAACTCTAGAAAGGATCCTGGAAATTTAAGACAGGTAAGCTTGATTTGAGTGCTTGATGGTAATAGACACAATTGTCAGGATTTTATCTAATAAAACAAAGTATAAAATATCGTAAGTAAATTTAACTTTCTTAGTATACTGATTGAATTCCTGGTGATCTTCATCCAAGGGAGTCTCAGAACCTTTACCTATAATACTACATAGTAGTTTTTTTAAAAAGCCATGCTAGTCTTGCAGATTTATATCTGCAAAAACCCATGTTAATTTTTTAAAAATGTCTTTAAGGTGCTGCTATACTCCCTTTTTCCCCTCCCTCCTTTTTACCTACCATATAAGAATCTATAGGAAAAGGTCATGTACCCAGAAGATGGGAAAGCAGATTTATGACCAAATCTTACTGGACATCTTGGACCTAACAACTCAGTCCTATATAATTTTCTGTAGAGGTAGAACCAATAAAAGTAGCAATTAGGAATAGTAGTAGCCAGAAGAGTCATTTTATATAATGGGGAAATGGAAGATAATAGTTGCATAATTGCCTATAGACCTGCAGAGGGCAGACTGGTTTTTCCTGGAGATTGTACTCCACAGTGATCTAGTGTCCATAAGGACTTTTTCCCTTCCTTTTTTAGAATTTCTTTTCTTCAATGGAAAAGTTTGATCTTTTATGCAAAGCATATTGACTGATATGAAATCCTTACACAGATAGTTTCCAAGTTACAAACATCCGACTTACAAACAATTCACAGTTAAGAATGGGTGGAAGACAGCAGGAAGTGAGAGAAATCTGCCCCTCAGAAGGAAAATTCACACCTGGAAGAGTTATCATGAGGAAAAGATGTCTCTTTTGAAGGTTTATCACCAATCCTTGTTTCCACAACAAGCCAAATTTTTCAAAATCCAATTCTCACAGGATCAGAAAGTGAGGTGAAATCTTCTGAACAGTGGTACAAACAGCAAAACAAACACCACAAGGATGCTAACCTTTCCATTTGCTATCCTTAGCTATTATATATACATATATATTTGGCTGGAGTTACACTTAAAAGTTTACAGTTCCAATTTACAAACAAATTCAACTTTAGAAGAAACCTACAGAACCTATCTTGTTCGTAACTTGAGGATTGCCTGTATACCACTTATTTTATATTCGGAGTTTTAAAAATGCCACAATAATGTCATCAGGCCAACAGCTTATAAAAACAGCTTTCTATTAGCAATAAATAACTTCGTTAACTCAGGGTTCATCTCTGTAGGGTTCATCTACACTGTAGAATTAATGCAGTTTGACACCATGTTAATCTGCCATGGCTCAATGCTATGAAATCCCAAGAAATGTAGTTTTACAAGGCATTTAACCTTCTCTGCCAAACTACAAGTCCCATGATTTCATAGCATTGAGCAATGGCAGGTAAAGTCAGGTCAAATTGCATTCCATCGACAAAGTAGATGCATCCATAGTCTCTCATTTTTTTCCAACCATGTTGTCCTGATTTCTCTTTCAACTGTCATACCACAAGAAGGGTTGTTCAGCATGAAAATTTCCTTATTCAGTTAGTCTTCCACATTTTCAGCTTTTGAATATTTGATTGCATTTGGTTAATATGTTCTCCTTATTTTTGCACTGGGAAGCAGCCAGGGAGAGGGAGATCCCTGACTTTCCTTTTCTGCTGCCTTTTTGCTGGAGAAGTCACCTACTTAGAACTAGGTGTCCAGCCATGAGGTCAACCATGAGGGGCCACCTCCTCACCATAAATTTAATGGCCGCACACCTTGTTCAAACTTCTAAACAAACAACTTCTCTAGCAGGACTCTTCCTTGGAAGCTGCTTGGCCAGGAAGGCAGCAGCAGATGAATCACTTTGGAAGAGAAGAATAAACAGAAATAAAATAATAATAATAATAATAATACCCCACCACCATCTCCCCAGAGGGGACTCGGGGCGGCTAACATGAGGCCAAGCCCGAAAATACAATACAGCAAAATAAAATACAAAGCAACAAAAATTACATCACCATAAAATACATAAAGTAACAGAATAAAATAAGCAGTGCACAATAACATAGTGGAGAGAGAAAAAACACAATAGATGGGCCAAATGCACAAGATAAAATAATAAAACCCTGGATGAGATAGGAGTAGAAAAGTGTATTTGTGAGGGAGGAGCTCAAAGGGACGAACAGTGGGGTTAGGGCTTCATTAAGGATGGGGGGAAAGTGCATCATGAGGACAACACTGTAGATGGAGCAGACATTGCAAATATCAATTTGGAATGTGGAGTGCAATACAGTTTCAATGTGATATAGGTGTGGCATTAATGGCATGAATTACGGGCAGCTCCAGGGCTAAATAAACTGAATGCAGCTGGATTATTTAGTGATGTAAACCTTTGCTTCTTAAACAATACGTCCCAAATGGGGGGCCCATAGCTCAGTGTTGGAGTTGTGAAAAATTTGGCAACAGGTAAAAATTTCCGGAACGCCACTTAGACATTTAGATGAATCTGTTAGCAACAATGTGCAGTGTTTACAGTTGACTCTGCAGAAAATGCTTTAGCTGTACTTCATAAGAAGGGAAGTCAGCCTGTTTAACAAGCTTTCTAAATGCTGATTTACTATCAGAAAATGTTTACTTTGTATACCTATTTTCTATACCTATATACCTGGGATTGTGTAATAAGTTATTGGCCAGAAAGGGCTCATGAAAAAAAAAGTCAGTCAGAAAGGGGTTGCAAGTGGAATAGGCTTAAGAAGCCCTGGTGTAGACAAGCTCCTGGTCAGTGTGATACATTTTATAAACCTATTTTCCAACTATTGTATTCCATTTCATTGATTGATGATGACGGCAGTGCTGGAAGACATCAAGAAGAAAGAGTTGGTGATGGTATGGAAAGATATGTGGATACTGAAAAGGTAGAATA